CATAAATAAATCACAATAAGGGCTCTTGCTCACATTTTTAAAAAAGCACCAATATGACTCAGCCTTCTATGAGCACCTTTCTGCCTGTATGTACATGTCATAGGCAGAATAGACTAAGTCTATTAGAGTGGCAAAATCATGCAGGCCCAGGTGGCTCAGGGGTAAAGAATCTGTCTGCCAATGCAGGAGACCTGGGTTCAATCCTGGTCTGGGAAGATCCACTGAAGAGGGAATGGCAACCCACCCCAGTATTCTTGCCTGGGAAATCCCATGGACAGAGAAGCCTGGCGGACTACAGTCCACAGGGTTGCAGAACAGTCTGACACGACTTAGCAACTAAGCAAAAACAGGTAGAAGGACTTCTCACCTGCTCATGTATCTAAGCACCTTTTCCTGCTTTCTTATGGAAAGAAATCGAAGACCCTGGCCAATAATCAAACTGTTGGAATGAATTTTCACAATTCCTAAGAGTATGGTTTCATCCTACAATTTTACACTGAGCACCAGGAAAATAAAAGAAATTTTCTAGCACTTACAACACTCAGTAAGATACCTCAAAGCACCACTATTCCTAATAAACCAGAAAGTCTACTTATTAATATATAATGAAAGCACCAAGTAGGCAAAAATACTGAAAGAGGGGTTGGGTAAGTATATCCCCTCTCCTCTAAGAGGATTCATATGGTCAGCAGAATTTTAAGGTGCGTGGTTTCACACTTGTTTTCCTCTAAATATCTTTTACATCCACTCCATTCTCTTACCATCATGCCCAGATTTCTCTATTATAATGGCTTTCAAACTCTAATAGAAGTTCAAAGAAAGAAACACACTTACGCCAGTCAATACACAGGCACATACTTGAAACAAGCTTCACAAAACACTTTTAAATCCTATTACATGTGCTATATGCTAATACTTTTCAAATTTTTCTTAAAATGAAGATTGTAATCTACCAATGGGCACAACCTATTATATCCATTGCTATGGCCAGTATTTTTAACAAACTTGTCTTTATGGAAATTTTTAAAATTTGGTCATCAAAAGACAATGTCAACAGAGTAGAAAGCAACCCACAGGATGGGAGAAAATACTTGCAAATCATATACCCGACATGAGATTAATATCCAGAATATATAAAGAACTTCTGAAACTCAACAACAGAAACAACCCAAACCAAAAATGTGCCAAGGGCTTGAACAGACAGTTCTCCAAGAAGATACACAAATGATCAATAAGCTCATGAAAACATATTCACCATCATCAATCATAAAGACAATGCAATTTAAAACTACAATGAGATACCACCCCACACCCATTAGAATGACTGCTAACTATGACCATTATTAATTCATCTTCCATACTACCACTTATCCTCATAAAATGTAAAACTGACTATATACTCCACTTAAAATATTTTAAAATGCTTAAAATACTTTAAATTCCTTGTGTATTACCTGTTAAATTTTTTTTCTCCTGTGATTTAGCCATTCATTCATTGAGCAACTATTTATGGAGAGTCTACCATATGCTAGGTGCTCTCTTAAGGCCTTAGCATACATTGGTATACAGATCCAACATGGCTCCTAACATGAAGTTTACAATCCAGCCCGGACAGTCATTAAATAAGTTTCATATTCTTTATGAGTGCTCTTATCCACCTCTCCAACTGAATTCATCCCCCTCCTCCACTCTTATCATATTGCTATAACTATCCTGATCTTCAAGAAGGTCCCAGAAAAATTCAGTCTTTTATACATTATGGCCATTGTCCTTGATGTCCATTCTAATTGAAATGCCTTAATCACCTCACAAATTCCTCCTCAGCCTTCAAGATTAACTTAAAAGGGTCTCCTCTAAAAACATTTCTGTGGCCTCCTTTCTACACTCCTTCAGTCACCATTTCTAACTCTTAAAATCAGCATTACAATGCTGATCACATCCTTTTGTGACCATTTTTTAAAAAATGTCAGTCCTCCTAGACTGAGTTATCACTAGGATCCACAACATAGCTTATCAGTCACAGAATAAATGAATGAATGTAAGCTATAATTTTGTATGTATGACTCCATTATGTTGATTACTCAGTTGATTGATGTTTGAAAACTTACATTTTTCTAGACTTCACTGTATATATATATTTTTAGGACTTCCTTCTTAAAGTCTGATTTCAATATATGGATGTTTTCCTTCATTAAAAATTTGTTCAGCAGCAGCCAGTCTGACTTGGAATATTTGTCTTGAAATTGATCCAATGAATATTCTTAATTTCAATAACTACTCTGGCAAGAAAAAGCAGAGAGGATTTCCAAAATCAGTACATTAGGTCAGTGTCTGTGGCACAACAGTTCATACAGGCAAAGTGGTGTTACACCATGTGTTTCCATTTCTCCATGCTAATTACTTTTAATGTGAAGCTAGGCTATCAGATGCCATCAATCTGTTTACCATCTCCCACTACCCTCATGTAGGAGACCCAGGTTAGATCCCTGGGTTGGGAAGATTCCCTGGAGAAAGAAATGGCAACCCATCCCAGTATTCCTGCTTTAAGAATTCCATGGACAGAGGAGCCTGGAGGGCTCAGGCCACGGGACTGCAAGTTGGACATGACAGCGACTAAACCACCACCACCACCCCCATTGGAGGCTTTACTTTCTCCTTTTCAAATAATTTTCAGAAAATCTGGGTAAAACAGAATGGCTTTTTAAATAAGCAACTTTTAACTAGGTCATTGTCATAGAACAGTCATACAGAACATGCACTGAACTCATGCAGGGAATATTCTAAAAGTTCTCTGTCCACTTTACCTTTTATCACTCTTCCAGTTGGGACTGATTTCCCAACTTCTACTTTAAGGTTTCAATCTTCTGGGGAAGTCTCGATTTTTCTAAATTCTATCACCAGCTGATGTTTTGATTCATTTCCACTGCTATTACCCTAGTTCAAATCTGAACTAGTCTTAAGGGGCTCTGAGACTAGCTATAGGACCTGGGCAATCTCTACTACTCTCCATATGAAAATATTAAGACTTACACATGAGAGTCAGACTATGAAATGAAATTGTGTGCATGAGAGGGCCTGGCACCAACAGGTGTTAACCAAATGTAAGGAATCGTCTTTTCTTCTCTCTTTCCTCCCTTCCCCAATCCTCCATCTTGGATGACACAGGAAGACTTACAGTGAACCACAAATGTGATCTCCTTACTAATCCACCTCAAATTCCTCCAATAGCTTCCCCCATGTTAGGACAGTAGTTCTCAGTGTGGTCCCCAAACCAGCAGCAACTCCAGCAACTGAGAATGGATAAGAACGAAATTCTCAAGCCCCGCCCCAGAACTTCTGAAGCAAGAACTCTGGAGGTGGGGGCCATGCCTGCCACTCTCTCACAAACCTGCCAGGTGATTATGATGTAAGCTCAAATTTGAGAACCCAGTGCCTGAGGATGAAGTCTAGTCTGGTATTGAAGGGTCTCCCAAACTAGTTTTCCTCCATTTACCGTACTTGCCTTCTCAGACTTCTACTAAGAAGAGTTTACTTAGGATCTTTCAAACATCCTATTCACTTTCCCAAGTGAGATTTTACTCACTGGTTACATTCTCTTTTCTTTCTTTAATATTTACTTACTTAGCTGCTTCACATTGATTCTGCAGCATGCAGAATCTTTAGTTGTGAGATCTTAGTTCCCCCACCAAGGAACTGAACCCAGGGACCCCTACATTGGGAATGCAGAGTCCTAGCCACTATACCAACAGGGAAGTCTTCACTGGTTACATTCTTCTCTTCCATGACGCCTCTCCTCAACCCAGCTTAAATCCCACTGTTTTCTTAAATCCCTTCCTGACAGTTTCCAGGAACTTTTTCCTCTTTTAATTCCAATTATTTCTGAGTACTCAGGTGATAATCTGCAGATGTCACAAACTGGCTGTTCCTGGCCCATAGAGGGTATGTGAGTGCATAACGAATTCGTTGCCAATAACAATAAAAATCAAGAAATATTACAAAGATAGAGATTTTTGGCCTGTGATGGGGGAAGTCAGATCTGTGCATGAGGGACCCACATTCCCACATGGCAACAATCAGCGGAGGAGCAAATGTTTCCAGCACTCACCAGCTCTTTCCATGCCAAATATAGATTTTTAGACATCTTCAAATATCTTAAACCATAACTTACATTTCTTATGCAACTTTTTATGTGTTTGTTTTTTGGCTCTCCTAATAGAATACAGCCCTTAAAGGAACTGAACTGTCCTGGCTTTCATTACCTTGAACACAAAACGATGAGGTTTTCACTATACAAAAGAATATTCTGGACATTACAGACCCCCAAACAAGCAGAAATGTACACAGGCTTTTGGGAAACTCCTGATTTTCTACCAATTTGGAAAAGCTATAGTAGTGTTTGTTTTCCAAAGTATGTTAGGGCACAACTCTCAAGGTAATTAAAAATTTTCATGCCATTTTGGCTTAGACTGTCTTTCATAATAACAATTTGTATTTATCTTTCATAATGATAAACACAAATTACTTGAATACAGTCTGTCTGCTGGAAAAGATCTAGCCCACGCCCAGCACGGTATTTCACCGAACCTCGATGCTGTCTGTGACTTCCCATCTAAGCCCTATTTTTATTTACTGATTTTTATTCCGTTAAAGACGAGTTTTAACCTCCCTCTCGGGCAGTTGCTACACTGAACTACAGTGCCTTTTTAGAGGCCACCGTCTGGTTAACCATTTGCCAGCGGCGAAGTAGGAGTCACTTTATAAAAACCGTCTTACACAACGGTAAAATCACAAGCTTGTCCAAAATAATGAAAAATTTAACACGCTGTTCACAGAGAATCTCCTTTTTCAGGAGAAAACCAACCAACCTTCCCTGTGAATCCATTTTGCCGACGCTTGCTCGTTCACACGTTTCCCGCACCCCTATCATCATCGGACTCAACCTCAGTCTCCTCTTCCTTTCCCTTCCCCGAATTCTCCAGGGGGCGCCCCAGACGCAGAGCTTAGCCCCCGGCGGCCTGAGGCACGAGCCTGGCCCCAACCCGGACGCGGCGCGCAACCCCCGCCCCGTACTCACCCGCCCGCGGCCGTAAAAGTGCAGCGCCCTCCTGCCCCGCCCCTTCCGGCGGGCCGCTTCGCCCCGCCCCGCGCTCTCCCGCGCGCAGGCGCAGCGCCCACTGCCGGGTGTCGGGCCTCAGGGAGCGACCCAGGGCCGGGCGGCGGTGAGGGGCGTGGCCTGGGTCCCGGCGGGGGTGGCCGCGGGATTCCGGTGTGTGACGCTGGCCCAGGGAGCCTGAAGGCGTGGCGGCGTTCTCGAGGGTGGGGAGGTCCGCGGGGCGCCCCATGGGGCGCCGGACATCTGTCTGAGAAGGGCGGTTGACGGTCCTTACGGATAGCTTTTGCCCTCCTGTAGGTTCACATCGGCTCCAAACTGCTGCTGCTAAGTCACTTCAGTCGTGTCCGACTCTGCGACCCCATAGACGGCAGCCCGCCAGGCTCCCCCGTCCCTGGGATTCTCCAGGCAAGAATACTGGAGTGGGTTGCCATTTCCTTTTCCAGTGCATGAAAGTGAAAAATGAAAGTGAAGTCGCTCAGTCGTGTCCGACTCTTAGCGACCCCATGGACTGCAGCCCACCAGGCTCCTCCACCCATGGGATTTTCCAGGCAAGAGTACTGGTGCCATTGCCTTCTCCGTCGGCTCCAAAGGCGGAGAGTAAAGTCCTTCCTCTCCCAGCCTCGTCGCTTCGCGAAGCCTGGGAGATGGAGGCCTAGTCCGGTCCGGATCCGCGCAGCCAGCGGCGGTCCCAGCCACAGACCTTTTCTTAACGCTTCCTGGAAGCTTAAAAGTATATGGGTGTACATATGTTCCCCCATATATATATGTATTCATATATATATATATATATATATATATTCATATATATATATATACACCTATATATATATATACCTATGGCTGATTCATATTGATGCATGGCAGAGGCTAAGACAATATTGTAAAGCAATTATCCTCTAATTAAAAAAATAAGTATATGGGTGGAGGGTGAGATATGGGTCGTTTGATAATCTGGTGAAATTAAGGGAACTAAAGTTCGGCAAACAATTTCCAACCTGTAGGAATAAATGCTCAGTGTTTAGTTGAAATAGAACTCGAGTTTTTAAAGCATGGCGTGGTTTGTAACAGCTGAAGGGCTCTCAGTTTTTTCTCTTAAAAGCTACCTATTTGTACTGATTCAGTTCAGTTCAGTCGCTCAGTAGTGTCTGACTCTTTGCGACCCCATGAATCGCAGCACGCCAGGCCTCCCTGTCCATCACAAACCCCCGGAGTTTACTCAAACTCCTGTCCATCGACTCAGTGATGCCATCCAGCCATCTCATCCTCTGTCGTCCCCTTCTCCTCCCGCCCCCAATCCCTCCCAGCATCAGGGTCTTTTCCAATGAGTCAACTCTTCGCATGAGATGGCCAAAGTATTGGAGTTTCAGCCTCAGCATCAGTCCTTCCAATGAACACCCAGGACTGATCTCCTTTAGGATGGACTAGCTGGATCTCGTTGCAGTCCAAGGGACTCTCAAGAGTCTTCTCCAACATCACAGTTCAAAAGCATCAATTTTTCAGCGTTCAGCTTTCTTCACAGTCCAACTCTCCATACATGACCACTGGAAAAACCATAGCCTTGACCAGACAGAACTTTGTTGGCAAAGTAATGTCTCTGCTTTTTAATATGCTATCTAGGTTGGTCATAACTTTCATTCCAAGGAGTAAGCATCTTTTAATTATGGGTTACTATTTCCTAATTTGTACCCAAACCAAGGACCCATGCTCACCGCCGCCGGAAAGTCACCCGAAGAGGGAAGGCTCTCGCCTAAAATGTGGGTGAAAATGAACATGCTTAATATTTGCGACCTCACTGCGAGTCAGAATAGTAACTACGTTTTTTGGAAACCTGTTAGATCCTTTGTTGTTGTTTAGTAGCTTAATCGTGGTGGACTCTGGGACCCCATGGACCGTAGTCTGTCAGGCTCCTCTGTCCATGGGATTTCCCAGGCAAGAAGACTGGAGTGGGCTGCCATTCCCTTCTCCAGGGGATCTTCGCTGCCCAGAGATTGAACTCCTCCTGGTTTCTGCCTTCTGGTCTGGTTTCTCCCTCTGGTTTCTCGTGGTTTCTGCTGTTGCCAGGTGGGTCTGTCCCACTGAGCTTCCCTTGTGGCTCAGCTGGTAAAGAATCCGCCAGCAGTGTGGGAGACCTGGGTTCGATCCCTGGGTTGGAAAGATCCCCTGGAGAAAGGAAAGGCTACCCATTCCAGTATTCTGGCCTGGAGAATTCCATGGGCTGTATAGTCCATGGGGTCCCAAAGAGTCAGACACGACTGAGTGACTTCCACTTTTCACTTTCAGGAGGAAGAGAAGTAAAACCTGAGCTTGAGTTCTAGGACTTTGAGGAAATACTGGTGTCTCCCATATGTTTGCTGTAATGTAGTGAAGACAATCATTAGGCAATAGCAGGGATCAAATTACAGTGAATAAAAATAATCGTAAATAGGTTCCTAATTATAATATTATAATTAGCGTCTGGAGCCGAGACCCCAGGCCCCACATATGATTTGCATAATTGCATGTCTGTGGGAGGGATTAGACCTTCCTCTGTTACTTGATGTTGATTCTTACTGAATATGGAACAATAAAAAATGAGTTAAGTCTTCCTTATCATTTTTATTATTCTTATTTAGACTAAAAGACAGCCACTTTTATCCCAGAGTAATTGTAGATCCAAGAAAAGTCAATTACAGAAACTAAAACTGAAGGCTAAGGCAGAGAGGCTGATGGAAAAAACATGTAAGCAGTCAGATCTGGTTTTAGATCTTAGCTCCTGAACACACTGAATAAAATAACAATAGAATTTGGGAGAAGCTTCTTTCTTTAAGCCAGGAGCTGAGCATTTGGACAGTGTTTTGTGGTGGGTTTTGGAAAACTTTATGAAAGCTCAGTTTGCATACCCTAAGGAAATGAAGTTTGTAATTTTAAAATGATTTTTAATCCTTACCTACTTTTTCACTTCAAACTCTAAAATATTTTAGTGCATTTCACTTTTTTTTTTCTTATCTAAGTTTTCCCTGAAGCATATTCCATGGAACATTAGTACTTTGCAAAAAGTTAGTAATTACTTCATGGAAAAAAAACTCTAGCATCAATACTGAGTAAAACACAAATTATTGGAAGTACAGTGGTGTAGCATTCTCGTCAGAACATTTAGAATCTGTTCTGATGTTCTAACATTTAGAAACACAGCTTGAATCTGTGAAGAAACAGTTTAATTCAGAATGTGATTTGTTTGGACTTTTCAATAATGTCAGTATCATGAAAGATAAGCAAGACAGAAATACTTGTCTGCATTAATGGGCAACTGTGATTTGGATAGGAGTATGGATTTTTTTAGTCACTAGCCTGCCAAGCTCCTCTGTCCATGGAATTCTCCAGGCAAGAATACTGGAGTGGGTAGCCATTACTTTCCCAGGGGACCTTCTGGTCCCAGGGATCAAACTCCTGTCTCCCGAATTGCAGGCAGATTGTTTACCATCTGAGCCACCAGGGAAGCCCAGAGAGAAAATACAGCATTATGTTAATTATTGTGGTTCTTTCTTTCAAATTTTCTATAGGTTTAAAAATTTTTTTAACACTTAAAAAGTTGGGGAAAAATGTAGCTAGCACTTACCTTTTAAAAATGCATTGGTCTGCTTATTTATAAGAAAATGCAAAATTCATTTATATGCTGTGCTGTGCTTAGTTGCTCGGTCGTGTCTGACTCTTTGCGACCCCATGGACTGTAGCTTGCAGGCTCCTCTGTCTATGGGGATTCTCCAGCCAAGATTACTGGAGTGGGTTGCCATGCCCTCCCTCCCCCTGGGAATCTTCCCATCCCCGGGATTGAACCCACATCTCCTGCATTGCAGTAGGACCTTCTGAGCTACCAGGGAAGCCCAAGAATACTGGAATGGGTAGCCTATCCCTTCTCCAGGGGATCTTCTCAACCCAGGAATTGAACTGGGGTCTCCAGCATTGCAGGTGGATTCTTTACCAGCTGAGCTACCAGGGAAGCCCCCATTTATATCTAGTTCTCTTATAATCTGACCTTGAGATAGGTGTACCATATTTAAGAACTATATATAGGAAGTCATTTGAGAAATGATCTCATTCTTCAAGGCATGATATTGCATCTGTACCCTGAGGTCCGTTAATTGCCAACCAAAGCAATGTTCATGTGTATTATCTGCCTCACTTTATGCTGTGTATTCTACACAGAATTTTAGCATAAATGAACTCTTGTAATCTGTCAATGGTTTTAAAAATGTTCCTCTATGCCTACAAATATTTACTGAGTGACTACTATGTGCCTGGCACTATATTAGGTTCTGAAGATACAACTGTCATCAATTTAGATAAAGCCCCTGCTCACATAGAGTTTATATTTAGGGAGCAAGAAAGAAACACAGAATAAACATTCCAATACAAAAAAAATGATTGTAATTGCTATGTGTTATAGAATAATTAATTAGGGAGTAGAGAGTGCCAGGTAAGTGTGGATATATATAGGGTGAAAAAGAAGACCTCGCTGAGAAGGTGAGGGGTGAGTTGTGGATATCTAAGGAAAGCACATACTAAAAATAGGGAATGGCTTGCTCGGCATAGTTAAAGAATAGTAAGGAGACTAGAGTGAATGGATAATAGAAGCAAGAGGGAGAGTAGTAGGAGATGACATCAGAGAGGTAACCAAGGCCAGATTTCGTAATATAATTTCAGGTGAGCTTTAGCTTCCTTTCTTAAGAGAGTTAGATGGATGTAGTGCTGTAACGCAAGAGCATAGCATGTTAGCTGTTGTTACTGGATTCATTTTCTATTGCTGTTGTAAGATAATTACCATAAACTTGGTGCTTTAAAAGAACATAAATATATTATCTTAACATTCTGCAGGTCTAAAGTCCAATACAGGTCTCTCTGGGTGTGAGATCAAGGCATCAGCTGACTGCTTCCTTTCTGGAGGCTCTAGAAGCTGCTGCTTTGACCTTCCCTGATTCTAGAGGCCTCTACCATCCCCTGGCTTTGGCCTCTTTCTTCCATCTTCAAAGCTAGTAACATTGGTCAAAGATTTCACTGGTCAAAGAACTTTAAAGATTTGGGTGATCAAATTAGGCCCACCCAGATCATCTCTCCATTTCAGGGTTCTTAACTTTGATCATATCTGCAAAGTCACTTTTCCTCATAAGGTAATTTATTCGCAGATTCTGGTGATTGGAGTACGGACATCTCTGGGAGAGTCTGTTCTGCTTGTCCCAGTCCACCCTCTGGCTC